CGTAGTACGCGGAGCGTGCTCCCGCAGCTCCGGCTGGAAAATCGCAACTTTTTGATACAAATGGCTGGAAAATCGCAACTGTAAATTGCAAATGTAGCACGCGGAGCGCCTCCGCCGCTCCAGCTTTTTGAGGGTTAATTACTTCACCTGCCAGTTTCTCATGCCGAAACTTCGAGAATTACTTCACCTGCCAGCTTCTCATGCCACCTTTTCGAGAGTTACTTCACCTGCCAACTTCTCGTGCCACCTTTTCGAGGAGTTACTTCACCTGCAAGCTTATCATGCCAACTTTTCGAGAGTTACTACACCTGCGAGCTTCTCATGCCAACTTTTCGAGAATTACTTTACCTGCCAACTTCTCATGCCAACTTTTCGAGAAATACTTTACCTGCCAACCCCTCGTGGCAACTTCACCTGCCAACTTTTCGAGAATTACTTCACCTGCCAACTTCTCATGCCAACTTTTCGAGAAATACTTTATCTGCCAACCTCTCGTGGCAACTTTTCGAAAAATTACTTCACCTGCCAGCTTCTCATGCCAACTTTTCGAGAGGTACTTCACCTGCCAACAACGCCTGCCAACTTTTCGAGAGTTTAACTGCGACTGCCACTTCTCGCTGGCCAACTTTTCGTGAATTACTTCGCCTGCATATTCTCCATGCTAACTTTTTCGACGTTACTCTCTTTATCCTGCCGGCTTCTCACGCCATCTTTGGTGGGATTTTTTTCAGCGCTCCACTCTCCTCTTGCACTTTTCGAGAATTAACATTCTATCGCCAGCTTCTCACGCCAACTTGGGGAAAGGCTTTCTTCTACGCCTGCCAACCTCTCTTTCGCCAATGTCTTTGAGAGTTATTTCACCTGCAAAATTTTCATGCCAACTTTTCTTTGAGTTACTTCTCGCCTGCCAACTTCTCATGACAACTTTGCGAGAATTACTTCACCCGCCAACTTTCAGCCAACTATTCGAGAGTTACTTAACCTGCCAGCTTCTCATGCCAACTTTTTGAGAATTGCTTCGCCTGCCAACTCCTCATGCTAACTTGCGAGAGTTACCTCACCTGCATCAACTTGCCTCTATGCTTCCGGGCCACTCGTCGTCTAGTTGAGGGCTGGAAGGGGGATATGAGAGGAGAAGCTCCCATTCCAATCTCTTCACTCATCCACCTCACGTGATCCTGTTGGTGTCCTTTAAATTTGAAACCACACAACAGGGGGTACCCTGAAAAGCGGACACACCCAAAACCAAAATTGAAGCGGGGCCTGATTTCTGCTCCAAATCACCGCGTGCTCCTATACACCTAAGTGCTGTGCCTATCAACATGGCAAAGGCAGAAATAACAGGTGTACGCCAATGAAGCCATCCAAAATTGGAGTTGTGGAGGTCCTGAGGAGAGAATGAAGAAAGCAAGATCTTGCAATTGTTGTTTGTTCGGGAAATGCGGGGCCTTTCTGTTGCATGAGTGAGCGAGCGACCCTGATCGGACTAAGAGTGCAACCATGAGTGAACAAAGGAAGCCGTCAGTCAATGAAAGGGACATCCGTAGATGCGCAACCACCTCCCAACGGGCCACGTCACACCCCCGCCTTGGTGATGGTGTTGGTGAACTCGACGGAAGCCAAGCTGTCAAGGCCGGCGTCCATCAAAGCCGAGTCCTGCAGCAGGTACCATGCAAATGGAAAACCCCACAATTGGGGGATGAATGACGACGCATCCAAGTGGGCGCATGTTAGGGGGACAAACCCAAACCTCTCAAAAGTGGTTCCGAAGAAACCTTCTCAGAGAGGGTTCTTTGAAGGGGTCTGAGAACCGTTCTGGCAAGTTGAGGGAACCCTATTTGGGTTCATGAAAAGGGAAACCGAAACCAACAACACCCGTTTAGATAGATCCAAACGCTCAGTCAATTCGGCTTCAGGGTCGCTTGCCTCAGGTGTTGGTGAGGATGATGCGCACACCCAGACTTTTTGCCGGATGCCGGTGGCCCTTTTCCAAACCATCCGTTCCTCTTCCGTGGGGATTTGGACGGGTCCTTTTTTCAAGCGGATTCCTCCAAAATGGCGCAACGGTTGTCCTTTCGAATTTCCCTTTAAAACTGCCACATGGATTTCGTGAGTGTCCTTCTGGGAAACCCTGTAAAATCATGCAAAAGAGGGTGGCCTCACAAGAAGACACACATTCACATCGGGGCACATGGAGCTTCACAGACTGCCGAATCCCAAGCCCCCCCCCCCCAAGCCCCCGCGAGGCTCCATTTCGAGCTCGTCGGTGCCCACCAGCGACATGGCGATGTCCACCACCTCGCTGCTCTCCGCATTCCGCAACGTGTCCACGAAAACGATCCAGCGACAATTTGGAAGGTTCCAAGGGAAATGGAGGCTTAAAGGGGACATGGCTGTTGAAGAAGTTCACTAGTTCAGCCACTGAGATTCAATGTGTCCCTCCACACAGATCGCAGAGCGTATCGGCAGAAACATTGCTTGCCCCTGCCAAAAGGAAGAAACAAGATGCAACACTTTTGCCTCACCTTTCGGGCAATAGGTGTGTTTCTTAAAAAAGAAAAGAACCCCTGAAACAGCCCACGGTTTCTTTCATACCATCTCCCTAAAGGTCCACAAGCCCCCTTTCACCCCCGAGCAAGGATTCCCCAGCCCGAGGCCCCCGGCCGTCTCTTGGATCTGCTCCAGCGTCGGCCCCCCCGCCGGCTTCACCGCCGGCGCCGCCGCCGATGCGGCTGGCGCCGCAGGAGGCGGCGCCATGCCCGGCATGCCCGGCCCGGGACCTGGCGATGCGAAGGGCTGGAAGGGCAAGGGCTAGAGCTTCCGTTTTTGCCGTGCTCGCTCCTCCCCTGGAAATCATGAGAAAATGTGTCCAGTGTCTTGATTCCCGTTGAAACTAACAGGGGAGAAGCAAATGGAAGCCAAGCGAAACCAAGATGAACGCAGCAGCAGCAGCAGCAGCAGCAGCAGCAGCAGCAGCAGCAGCAGCAGCAGCAGCAGCAGCAGCAGCAGCCGCGGGTCTTCAAAGCTGCGAGCATGACACTCAATCTGAACAAAAGAATCCAAGACATGATGTGAATCAAGGTTAGCATGGATGCATCTGCGAGAACGCCATCGTCAACTTCAAGACTTGGACTATGCTCTGAAGGCCTCGCAGTACAAAAATCAAGTGACGAATCACAGCTGTGCCAGGGGCCTAGGTGCGTGCAAATAGGCGAGAAAGAAAGAAAGAAAGAAAGAAAGAAAGAAAGAAAGAAAGAAAGAAAGAAAGAAAGAAAGAAAGAAAGAAAGAAAGAAAGAGAGAGAGAGAGAGAGAGAGATGTTTTACAAAAAGAAAGAAACGAAAGAGGAGGGAGACTGGATGCTCCTGAACATTCTCGCTATCTGCATAGGCGCTCTCGCTCTGTCTGGTGCAAAAGTACAGGCCTTTGCAGCTTCCCAACCACTGCATATGGTGTGCATCGGTTTCAAAGGCCAGCCATCCAGTTTCCAACTTCAAGGGATGCGGCTCAAGTTGTGTGGACCCCTTGGGAAAGTTCAATGGCCCTGCACAAGGCCATGCTTGATGTTTATGGTTCGTCGCAGGCCAAGTATTGCGGGGACAAGGAGGAAAAAGGCCAGGCAGCAGTGCGATGTCATCGCGTCTGGATGAGCCATTGCTGACCATCATCAGTGAGTGAACAACTCAAGAAATCCGAAATTGATCGAGGAAAGTAAAGGTACAATGGACAAAAGAAGGAGGGAGATAATAAAATAGGAAAAGCAAAACAAATGCTTGAATGAAAAACGGGAGGGCACAGAAGGAGAGCCAAAAGGAAGGAGAAAAGCATGACAGCACAAATTGAAGCGCAGCTTCACGCAAGTGTAGCAATGATGAGAATCGAAACAGCTGAAAAATAATTCGCAACTCCTGCTCTGGCAAGCTCTGGTTTCTCGCCTTCATGGTGTGTTCACATGGTTTATACAGCTGAGCTGTGCAAACTGATCCCCTGCTAAAACTAACTAACTTTGGGGGAACCCCCACAAAGCCAGCTAAAAACCTAAAACCTAATAAGGGAACGGCTGGGAACTGCCCAAGATAGGCTTTCCCGGGCGTACCCTAACCCGAATCGGCCAGGTAACGGCCCAATTGAGATTTCAGCTTCGCGCATCCTCCAGCAAGTACCCCCCGGAGGCACCTGGCGCCCCAGTGCGCGGGCCAATGCCGCCCGTGCCGTACCTGCCAGTCTGCCAATGGCAGAACTGCTTCATGTTGAGAGCTGGGGGTGTCCCCGTTTTCAGCGGGGATTCATCACTGTTGCACGGAAACACCCCCCCTTATGACCAAAACCAGTTTTTGAATCCGGGGTTGACAGCAAAGCCCCTTTTTGTGGAATCCTTCACTTTGTAGTTAACACCGCCCTATCAATAGGACGGGTTCATTAATCTGGGTCAACATTGGGGATCCTCCAGGACACAATCCATGACCCGAGAATTCCCATGACCAGCTCCGACCTCAAGGTACTTGGAAAATGGTAGAGATGACAGATAGATGACCAATGGCTGAGCGGCCGTGCGGTCTGGTCCACTTCGGCCATGAAAGATTCTGCTCATGTGCAAAGTGCCAAGGGTCGGTTCGTATGAATGTGCTGTCGTCACAAAGGAAGCTTCACAAAAGGCTATGGGAGAACTGTGGGACCACAGCTGCCATCTGATTTGCAAAGCAGATCGCATGGCCGGACGGTGCTCACTGCAGAGTCATCCGCTGTTTTGCGAAGTAAGAAATGCTGGGTGCCAACTCGCTCGACGCTTTGCCAACTTGCCCCTTCTGCATTCTGAGCTCTCATGATACAAGTTCCAGCGAGGTGATGCCAGTCGCCGACTCCAAACGGGACCCTTTGCGCCGAAATCCGAAATCTATTCCCCGCGCACATTTGGGCTTCAGAAGGCATCATCGGCATGGGCGTGGCCTTAAAAAGCGACGAGAGTCGAGTGCGGTTTCTGCCTTCCCCAGAAACCTTCTCCCGAGAATGCATCTGGTTGCTCCCTCCACTGACCAAAGTTTGTGTGGATTTCCAGATTTGGCAAATGCACAGCGCACGTCGGGAAACCTGAAAACATCTGCTCCATCACACAAGAGTCACAAGCGTCACTGAAAAGAGCCACGAATGTAACGTGCCTCCTAAAAAGCAAAACAAAAATGGATCGAGCAAACAGCGACGCTCTAAAACCGAGATGGAACAATTCAAGCATGGCGCAAGTGAGCTCGTGATAAGCCAAAAGTTTCAAGGCCCGGGCTGCAGTCACACCGTACTCCTCCTGCTCCTTCTGTTGCCTCAGGTAGTCCCCATCGATAATCTCCCTGGCCTGCTCCTCACGGGGCTGGCAGCTTCTCCGCAGGTGCCCGGCGAAAAGAAGTGACTGGTGGTTTCCCATGTAAAACAGCCCGGCAAAACAACAAGGAGAGCCGGGGAACCCAAAAACCACGATGTGAACAAATATCGGTTTCTCTCAGTCATAGAGAACCCATTTGCTGCACTGAAGTCATGTTGCGCCAATTAAGTCAACTACGACAACCAAGAAAGAGTCAGAAGGGATTGACACTTGGACTCCGGGGCTGTCATTGTTCAACGGCTGCTTGGGCATGACTTTAATTGAGACGGCCGGGTCTTTGTAGTCAACTCTTCTCAACCCAGGCACTGACTGTGGGATCGTGCTTGGTGAGACCAAGCTGGAGAAAAGTGAGTATGTCCAAAACAAGGGACCGGATAAGACCACTACAACTTGTTGTCATGTTGGTTCCGCATTATTTTCTTTTTCAAAAGGGTTCCTGTGTTGTATAGAGAGAGAGAGAGAGACCCTCACGCACACCCACGCCAGCCCGCCCGCACGCGCACGCACGCCTGCACGCACGCACGCTCGCGAGCACGCACGCACGCAGGCACGCAAGCATGCAAGCCTATGAAACAAATCATGTACAAACAAAGATCATGCAAAAAATAACTGAAACTCATGTAAAGACATTCAGCAAATTCACGCCCTCCCACCACCCCCCCTCCCCTTTGGGCCAGTCCATACCCTGCTCGTTGCCCAGCTCTTCAAAGATCGCGTGAGCTTCCTTGGCCACCTTGGCGCGGCGAGCGACTGGTGGCTCTTGGCTCAAGGCCAGGTGGCAACTTTTGGCTGAGCCGACCATTTTGGACCCGGAAAAGGGCGATCACCTTCTGGGGTCACCAAAAAGGGGAAAACGGGCAAACCGAAGGTCGATAGGTCGACTTTGGGCAACTGAAGTCAAAAGCCAAACCTGCTGTTCAATCTGGAGGTTGGGTGGCTTCCCATGCTTCCCATGCCTAGCGGTTCAAATCCCCAAGCCACCAATCCAAGCCCGATCCTGGCATATCCTAAGGCACGGGAGGGGACCCTTGGTGGACATCATTTAGGTGGGGATCCATGTCCACCAACCACCTTGGAAGGGGTTCCCTATCAAAATTCAGCGCCAAGTGGGTCCTGGTTTGGACAGCCACATACGTCCCATGCGCTACCAATTCAGCCACCTGACCCAGCGCTCGCTCCCCGAGTCCCCGAGGCCGCGCTCCCCACCTCCTGCGCTTTGGCATCCTCCCCGTCGCAAATGCAGACCTGCGCCTGGCAAATTCGAAAAACAAATCGGAGAAAAAAAAAGAAGAAGAAAAGAACAGCAGGTTCGAACTAGTTGAGATCAAAGCTTTAATCCAGGGAACATCTCAAGGCGGAAGGCTCTCGCCGAAAAGCCCAAGATAGGTATAAACACGAGGCATAAACACTAGCTAACATGCCCGGGAGGAATACAACAGGGATTTGTTCAATGCGTGTGCGTGCGGGGAGGGAGGTAAAGTAGAACACGGGGAGCATGCAAAAATGCATGTGGCTGTGAGTCAAAAATGGGTACCCAAAATGGAACTTGGTAAATGGAACCAAGGACTAAAACCTGCCACTGAGAATATGTCGTGGCCTGTCCGAACTGATCTGAATGTGGAGCTAGCTCTCAGAGCTGTCCTCCCTAGTTTCATTTGCAACAACAGTTTGCGTTTGCTGTATTGTCTTGTTTGCCCTAAACTCTGCAGCCCTTGTCCCATATTTGTTGTTTCTTTCTTCGACAGACCATGTTCTCGCTTTCAGCTATTGGCTTTCAGCTATAGAAGGATTCTTCTTTGAAAGCAGCCCTCGTCTTTGCAATGAGAAATGTGACACATGTATTTTGACAAAAGCATTGACTGTTGATGCTCATAAGACACGGCATGACACCCAACTGGTGGTTTCTTAAGGGAATTGCCAAACGTTTCATTCCCAACACCCGGTCTGGGTCATTCCTTACCTATCGCACCAGCAAGACCAAAAAATAGCGAAGCTAATTCCAATTCCGAGAAAAAGAATACAAAACGAACTCAGTGGTGCTTTTTCTGAATACTCTCACCGCGTTCGGCTTTTCCTCCCTGGCCGAGGCGATATTCGCTCTTCCCCGAGCCGAGTGAACATCGCCGCCTTCAGCAGCACCAGCGAGGCCTCCTCCATGCCTCAGACGCTAACCCCAGGTGCCGAAAACGAACCGGCCTACAACTTGGTGAAGAATTTATTCATCTTCTTCTTCTTCTTCTTCTTCTTCTTCTTCTTCTTCTTCTTCTTCTTCTTCTTCTTCTTCTTCTTCTTCTTCTTCTTCTTCTTCTTCTTCTTATTTTTTCTTCTTCTCTTTTCGCAAGCATAAGCGGCGCACTTTCCCGATGTCGGGATCTGAAAATGGTAAAACCCGGCTAGAAATTCTGTGTCCCGGATGTGAGCCTTGCAAGCAGGACACGAGACATCGAACCCTCGTCCCCGAAGGAACCCTAGGAACAGAATTTAGTCACTTGTTCGGTTGAGACTTGCTTCCTGCTCCCTCAAGGCCACAAGCACGTCAGTGAAACCCCTGCCCCCCCCCCCTGCCATGAAGGCTATGGCCGCCCGCTAAGCCTTTGCCCGAGGCACGCTGGTTGGTTCTCTTGGCAACCTCCAGCGCCTCTTCGATGAACTCTTCGGCCTGACCGTCAGCGGATCGCCCTTTTCCGGAGAACTGAAATAGCCCTCAGCGTGCTTTCCTCCACAGGAAAACCCCGGCTGCAAGCTGGGGAAAGTCCACAAGCTCAAAGCATGCCTCCTCAAAAACAAAAAAGAAGACCAGATTGATCACAAACAATGGCGAACCATGCAGTTCAGTCACAAGCTTCTCGGACGATACCCACAAAGGCAAATCAAACAGGCCATACTGAGTGGTTTTTTTCCCAAAGGTCTCCCAAAACGGTTGGTTTCCTTTCATACCAGCTTAAAGGGGGGGGGGCACCATTTTGAGAAACACCCGCGCCACCAGGACCACACCCTTTCGTGGTGGCCGAAATCTGTGATACCCTTGACTAGGATTCCTATCGTGACTCCCTCATCACTTCACAACCGATTCCCCTAGTACAGACATTGGCATCCCCAAAGCCAACAATGTTCATCCCTTGAAACTCAGGGGGTGGGGTTGGAACACCCATTCTATAGCGTCCATTTCAAGGGGGATCGATTTACACAACCATGAAACCATTTGGTTGGCCGCCCTTGTGCCCGGCGCCTCCCAATGCCTAAAGCACATGATCCGCGTCTTCGCGACCACCTGTGCGGCAAAGCATGATCTTTGCATATGGGAGGGGGCCCCAAAAACGTTCGCTTTCTTTTGGCTTCCTTTTGATTTCCCGTTGGCTTCCTTTTGGCTTCCTTTTGGTTTCTTGTTAGTGGCCTTTTGACTTCCTTTTCGATTCCTCGCCATAGGTTCTCCATACAAGCACCCCGTCAACTGCACTCAAGCGCTCGCTCGATCTGTATGCAAGCAAACAACATGCACGGTCTCAGCCCTCACCTTCCCTCGCCCATAGCGCGACCCAAAACAGTATGTTCGCTCGATCGCTCAATCGCCTCGTTCGCTTGACTCTTGTTTGCTCGCTTGGGCTGTGTCCTTCCTTCCCGGCTTCCCGGCTTCCCGGCTTTCCTGCTTCCCTGCTTCCCGCTTCCCTCCCTCCCAGTTTGCCTTGCTTGCTTGCCCCTTGCGTCTGTAGGCGTCTCTGCATGTGGATTTGCAGGATTGTGTGTTTGTGTTTTGATGTGCTTGCGCGGCTTTGCTGGTTTGTGTCTCTCTTTTCCCATGCTCGTCGTTCCACTCTCCGAGCAGCGGCCGCGGCGCGGCCCGGGCTCGCCGACCGACCGCGACTCCGCCTGCTGGGCGTGCATCACCAGGATCTCGTCGTCCACCTCCCGCGACAAACGCAGCGCCTCCTCCGCGGCCTCGCTGGCCTGCGCCAAAAGCGGCCGGGAGAGGCCCGGAGAGTGAGCGAGGGGAGTGAGCGAGGGGAGGGAGGAGGGGAGTGAGGAGGGGATGTAGATGCGGATACTGATGGGGAGAAGGGTGGGGCTGTGGAGAGAAAGTGGAGGGATCTAGACTTGACGCTTTTTGCCCGACTTGCCCGGGCTGCCAATGCACGTGGCGTATGGCTTCTATGTTCCAGAAGGTTGCTGAAAAATTGCTGACAAGAAAAGGAGTATATCGACTTATCTGTTGCTCGCATCAGCTCAAAGAGGCCGAAGTAAGACGCACTTTCGACTTATTGAAGCTTGGATGGTTCCCAACTTGTGGAAAGTGACCTGGGCACAAGATTTTCCAAACATTTGATTCGATTTACATCAAGGCATGTCAGTCGGCCCTTTCACGCAAGAGGCCCTAGAGGTTGACCTTCGGAACCAATAAACCTTCTGCCCACATCAGCCCATCCAGTGCTGACATAAACTACGATATTCCCAACCAGAACTCCGATCGCTAGCTCCGAGACTGCGAGTCCGACTCCCCCAGAAAGCAAAAATTTGGATGCCCCCAGGTCCGAGTCCACCATGTTCCTACTCGAGCCAAGACAAAGTCGCAAACCGAGGGCTGGGTGTCAAAAGGGCCACCCCTTCACAGGGTTCCCCCATACTTCCCAACAAAAACATAGACGTCACCCCTACCCAATGGGCAAAAAACGGTGCTGCTTCAAACCCCGCAAGAAAACCCAAATGGAGCTGGCGCTTCTCCTGTGGCCGATCCCCATGCTGGCCCTCACCCCACAGCCCGATCCTTTCGGCAGCTCTCAGGAAGCTCCTCATCGGGCTTGAAGTCCTGGCGCAAACTCGAAAGACTCCAACCCCAACGCAAGTGACCACACCACCTCCAAGACAGTTGGTGGAGATGAATCCCCAAATGAGTCATAATCAAAACCTGGTACGAAAATGGTGAACCCAAAAAGAGTTACCAAGGCGGCCGCACCTATTTATGGTTGGGAGTGTCCCTTACTAACCTTTATCTACCCGACGAATCGGTTTTGATTGTTGCTCAATTGATGTCCACCATAGGTCATGCCAACATGGTCCCCATGAAGTTGGCGCAAAAGCCCAGAATCACACCATGTGACAGAAGACACATCGCCAGGCAAGATGGGACGGTATGGGACGGCGCCCTCTTGAGTTGTGGTGCAAGCTGCAATACCTACGTGTGCAACAGAACCCCCACCCACACCAACACAGCACAACACAACACATCACAACAGAAAACAGCATAACCCGCGCACGCACACACAGACACAGACACAGACACAGACACAGACACAGACACACACACAAAAAAAAAAAGAACACGTGCATATGTCAAAACCAGCTAAACCCCTCCAGCTGTTTGGCATCCTTTCGCAATGGTTGCCTCGTTTTGACCAACTGTCTGACAAATGACCTTGATTCGCACAAATATGCCCACCTTGCCCAAGCCAGAGCCATAGCTCCAAACCCTCCAAGCATCTCCCAAACCTCACCTCTCCCCCGAAACGCCAACCCCTCGCCTCCCCCCTCTCCGCTCGCTCGCTCCGGCTCTCAGGTTCTCGCGCCTGGAGCTGCGCGAAGCCGAAGAGCGCCTCCGCCTCAGCCCAGCTCATGAAGGCCTGGCCCGGCGTTTCCGGCTTTCCGCCGCTTCGCTTCCGGCTCCACGGAAAGCAACGAGGTCTCAGACTTCCCGCTTTTCCGGGCGAGACAGCGAAAAGCGGAGTGCGGCTGGGGGGTTGAACAAAAAGGCGGCCCAGAAATCACAGCTCGTGCGGCTGCGGGGACAAGGAAGTGGCCGTTTTCTGGGTCGTGCAGGCTGAAACAAATTGGCCCTTGAAACTGCTGGGCAAATAGAGAACACGTATTTTCATGAGGTGAGAAGCATCATGTCGCCGGATCCAATCCTCGCGCTACTTGCCTAGGTTCTTGCCCCTCTCAGTTGCCCCAGCTCTCTCCAGTTCTCACCCCACCCGCGCCACTTGCCATATCGTTTGCCAAACAGTCTGCTCCTCTTCAGGGCGTCGATGTCAAGAAGAAGGGTTGAAAGGGGCTAAGGCAATTTAGCTGGTCGAGGTTGGAATACAAATCCCTTCCTGAAAACTTAATGTTTGCCTACCAGGAATCATCCCCTCTCGGCGTGCACTCGCTTGAGTTTCGGATGGAAAATCAACTCCCCAGGTTTTCCCACCAGAGTCAGTACGTCACTCACTAATCATGCCTTTGGGTGTGTCCATTTTTAGGGGACCCCAAAAAAGGTGGTTCTGCTTAGCTTCCATTTAAAACCATCCATTAAATGGTACCCTCAAAAAAGGACGCACCCTAGTCAAACAGACGCATGCACATACTCAAAACGGGCACAAGGCTCAGCGAGCGTAGGCCCAAAAAGTAGGGCCCAAGAATGCTTTGGATCTGCAAAGCTGCCATCCTCCCCATCACGCCTCCTGCCGGAAGCAGGCGGCCTGACATGGACAGGCGATGGATCCCGGGTCTTTCACAAGTCGAGTGCCTTCATTTGAGTCCTTGTACAACTGGTTGTACATGGAGCCCCGCTTGCTTCTTGCCTCTTCACCTCTGCCTTTTTTGGCGGTTTCATGTTGACTTCCTTGAACCATCCAAGGACTGGGGTTTCCTTTTGGGGCGTAAACTCAAAACGAGCCAAAAAAGTACCTCCCTGTGTTCGTGCAAGTTCAGAAACGACCATTCCTCTCTTCCTGGGAAGAACGAGAGAAGCACGGCTCAAAATTTAGCAGCCCTATCCTTCCCGCTGAACAAAGGCAGCTTCAGCTTCAGTGCTTGAAGCTGTTGAGCTGGCTCAAAGGGAAACCAAAAGAAACCGACCCATTTTGTGGGTTCGCCTACTTTGAGACAAACCCACATGAGCTTCAGCTTGCAAGTCAAACCCATTTTGTGAGCAAAGCTCCGCGCATCCACTACAGCCCCCCCCCAAACCCAACCTCGTGGAAGATCTGGCGTGCCCGCTTCGCGCAGGTCGCGCTCTTGCCGAAGTCCCCCTGACCGACCGTCCGACCGACCGACCGGCGCGTAGCGCGCTGGATCGACGAGACCGGCAAAAGCGGGGGCGACCAACCGACGCTTGAACGCAGAAAAGAGCCAAAGGCGGTGGCGCTTTTGAGGTTGCTGTTTCCTTGCTTTGTGGCAATTCTGACGATGTCGCTGATGGCTTGCAATCACGCACGCACTCACACACAAGTTGTTTGTTTTTCAGGCTGTCTATTGGGACCCCGCAGTGTCCCTTGTAGAGTTTTTGAATCACTGTCCTTGAGAACATGCCCCTCAGTGGTGTAAAATATGTTCCTACCCTAAAGGACACCAATTCTATCACGTGCTCTTTCCAAAAACGGGCCAGGCGTGGGCGACCATCAACAAGCAAAGCCTGAGGGTTGCCGCAGTGAACCTCTTGAATGATTGCTTCCCGCATCTTTGGGCCCGCCCTCTGCCCATTTGGGAATTCGCTTCTCCCTTTTCATGACCCACTTTTAGGTGCACTTGTCGGTGCTCCTTTTGGGCTTCCCTTTCAAAAACCCACCACACCCGGGGGGGCGGAGGCTCCAAGGCTCCAAGCGCACCCAGTTGCCCGGCCGTCCCGCGCCTTGGTCATGTGCAGGCTGGACAAATGATCCAGGGCTTGGCCTTCACCTCTTGACTCGCGGCTCGAATCTCTCAGGACACGGATCAATCGGCAACTCCTCACCCCGAATTCCAGGCCTGTGGTTGAAATGGAATCCCCTCTGACACAAGAAAAGGGCTTTACCCCAAAGACTAACCTGATACAAGAAAAGGGGGCTTCCCAAAGACTAAACCCATCCAAAGCGGGAGATTCCCGAAGGTGTCACAAAAGTGGATGAACCCCGAGTGATCCCACAACGCTGCGCTGGTTTGGTGCCGAATCCGTGGTTTGGAGGTTCCGGGGGGACTGGGGTCAAATCCCCAAACCAGCGATACCACCAACTAAGGTTTGATCCCTTGGGCTAAAGCTTGTTCAGAGGAGCCCACGCCGAACATACAAATCTCGCCAACTTGAAGAGAAAAAACCAGGCTGCCGAGAGCCACAGCATGCACGAAAAGCCGCACATCTACCACATCTTCTCAGACATCCCTGGGCTGCCCTCAGATGCCAGATCCCCTGCCAAAAAGTTCAACTTTACTGGGTTAAATGGCAACCTTTGCAATGATCCAGCGAAGTTGAGAACCGGCCTATGAGCAGCTTCTGGCTAGCGAAGATGTCGCGGGCCTTGTTCGCCACCTTCATGGCCTGACGAAGCGAGGCGATAGGCCGTGGCTTCTTGGATCTCACCAAAACCGGGAGTCGGAATCCCAAACCACCAATCCAACTCAACAATGATTGCCCACTCATGTGGTTTTCACACAGAATGCGTGCTTCTTCAATTAATTGAAGTAAGCCGCTGAACAAGCGACCCGTAGGCAGCTTCCGAACGAGCGTCAAACAAAGGACCTTCTCGGCAAACAGGATTGTCCGTTGGTAGAGTTTCATTTGGGCGTGTGTCGAAATTGCGGACCCCCAAAAAAAAGTGAGCTTCATTTTGGTGTCCCATTCAAACCACTCCAAAAGGAGTACCCTCAAAAAGCACACCCAATGACCCAATGTGTTCGTTGAATTGTTGGAGATCGTTTGTGAAGCTGATCAAACCTAGTTGTCCCGCACCTGCTCGAAGTCGCCCATTTTGGTGAGGCCGGAGCAGTGGTTGATCCACGCAAGGCCCTGCAGTGCTTGGGACTTCGCATCTTGGGATTCACTCTCTCAATTCAGGCTCACTGCATCCAAGAACTGGGACCTTACTTGACAAATACAGCACAAGACTGAGGTTCGTGTTGGCAAGGTGCTGCAACTGCATTGCAGGCCGACTCCGACCAAACCAAACCTGCCCAACAAAGTGGCTTTGCACTTTGCACCTGATGTGTGCTTCTGTACTTCTGCACGGTCCGGGGTGGTGACATCAAAACATGAAAAGCGAAACGATACATGGGCATTAAGTTGATCCACTGAAGGGAATCCTGCCTGAAGCCCCATGTTCACCAGTGCCAACTCATGGGTGCCCTTTTGTCAAATCCTTATCTGGGCTGTCCGTTTCAGATCTGCTAAAAGTGTTTCACTTTGCTCGTGGGTTAAACCCGACCACTAAACCAACTAAAAATATAATAATCTAAAAACCTAGGGGAACCGGACGGCTTCCGAACCGCTAAGTTTTCTGGGACCCATGTTCATTGATGTCGAGCCAAGCTTTTGGAAGGGACCCTTATGTTTTTTGGAGCCTCGGGGCAGCCCTGTGTTTTGTTGCTTTAAGAGCAGCCAAAAGGAGAACCGAAGCTGTGGTTTCGGGCCCCTAAAAAGGGGGGACACACCCAAATCCACAATTCCTGCGTAACAAAAGGACAATTCAGATCACATCTTCCCGACAAATCGAGCGCGCCAGTGCCAGGGCGGGTTGCGCAGTCACGCCACCCGTGAAAGACCCCAGAAGGGCGACCTTTCGCCCGCCTCGCCCTTCTTGTCGTTCAACTTCTCATAGATTTGGATGGCCCGCTGGGTCTCCTGGCATGCGCCACGGACGTGGAATGCATTTGCAGACCTGGCAGCTGCATTGGATTCCTCTTTCACATTTCACATCCTCGCCTTCTTCCCCTCCAATCGCTGCGAACAGACACTGCGACCCATGCAAAGGCGATTTCACATCTGCTCAACCCGGACCTCCACGCGCCAGCCTTCGTCCCCTCCCCAGAACGCGGCTCGCCTTCAGAGCTTCATCTGCGCGCTCAGTACACAGCAGCGACATCACCATGGTGCTCAAAGTCGTAGCCTCGCTCGGTTTCCACGGGTGCCATTGAAACAGAAACGACAAGAAAAGAACGCAGGGCTTTCCGGTGCATGTTGGACTTCGACTCTAAACATCCTTGGAAAGTGCGGTTTTCAGTTGGCTGTAACTGTAAAAAGTCAAACCAACAAACAAAAGACGGACCGGGGTACGTTTTTTGGCGAATGGCCAATGACAACGTACCAAAGCACAGGAATGCATTGAGATGTCGGGCCCAGGGGATCGGGGAGCCAAAGATGTGTTTGAGTCAAGCCAGAGTCTCGATCAGATTTCTTATGTAAGTTTAGCCGAGACTTTGTTTGAATGCTTCAGACTATTTGCATCCGAGTAGTAACAGAAGCGGAGGCGACCTGCGCCGAAAAATGGAATCTGGAGAACGTCGGAACGCTTCCTACGGGATGGGAATGCAAACATGCTGCGCCTGGCCCGTGGCCCCCGTGAGTGCTCCGTCGGACATTTGCGTAGATGTTCTGAAGGAAAGACGTGACAAACGGTCTTGCGAGGGCGATGCGTTCTCCAACACCGGCATACGCCTTATATGCGCCTGCGGGCGGTGTAACAAACCTGTTGTGTGGGCACGGCATGCATCTTTGGGAGACCCTGAACGTTCGGGGAATGGTTGGGCCGCAAAAGGGTCGGGTTTCCTGCATTATGAAACTGCTTAACACACTGATGGTATGTCATCCAAACAACCCATATACACCACATGCTTGAAGGCGCGTCAGCCTTTTCAGCCTTCAATATACAGTGCCTACCGACTTGAGTGAACTCCTGCCATTCCAGCTTTGTGCCTCAAACTTGGAGACAACCCTCTTCGGTTGACGCCAGCAAGCGCAGAGCGTGCAGCAATCGCTCGCCCTTGGTAAGATTGGCAAGTGGCTTGGACTTGTTGGGAGGGGCTAAAGTTGGTTTGGGAAGAACCTTCTAAATATTTCGCTAAGCCGGGCGCTTCCTGGAATTCTGTGCCGGTCGGCTCCGGTAAAGTATGAATCACAAGTTTACCAATGCCAGTCTACCTCTGTAGAATCCGGGTGTTTATTTCTGGGCGCCATAGCAGGTTTGGCTAGACCTTCCGCACACCCGAGGTGCAGGCCCCCATAGACACAAAAAGTTGGCATATCTGGCCTCTGGCGGGTTCCATGTTAGTGGACAGGGTATCCCAGCAGGCATTGTCCGCATCGCAAATGGCGATGCTTGTCAGGCTCTCTCCTGTGCTTTGCTCCAGCCGGAGGATGCCATGGCACAGAAACCGTCAGAAGTGCGGATGCCGAAGGCCTTCGGATGCCACGAAGCTGCGATTTCGCGAGCCAGGAGTAGCAGCAGCTCCGATCTTCATCGATATCAAACGCATCGCCGCGTTATGAGTATCAACACTCACGCGAGTGTTGACATGGTCAATGCCCCTGAGAATAACATCTTCGATGGTTCTTCTCACTTGACCTTGTGCATCAACCAGCAAGAACGGATTGGATGCCGTATGCACGTTTGTTTTTGCGCCAGGCCCGAAAAAATATTGAAGCGACAATGTGTTTGATCCGGCTTAGCCAGCATGAACTCACTCTTTGTTGGCCTCAAGAAAACCCAAAACTGCGCAATCCAAGGGTTCGTCTCAAAATAGGAAACCACCAAAACAGATAGTTTCCCTTGGTTGGCTTACCTTTCAATCAAAACTCCAGGAAGTGTACCCTCGAAAAAAGAATGGACACCCGCTCACCCGCCGGCAAAAGCGACTGACAACTGGGCGCCCCAAACCATCTCTACTTGACAGTCCAGCTTCTCGAAGAGGAAGAAGGCTGTCTTGGCGTGCTGCAGCCTCATGCGCGAGCGACTCCATTCGGGTCGAGTTCCTTTCGGGTAGTTCGCGCCCGGTCAAAAAGTGCAGCTTTTGCTTCCTTTCCGGCGGCCAAAACTCTGCGAACCCAAGCCAGGCGCAGTACCAAAAGAAATTTGTTCCCTTCTGGCACCGGCGAGTTTGCCCCCGGATTCTAGTCTGGAAGTTCCTTGCACAGAGATTCTGTGGCAGGCGCACGCCTCCGGCATCCCATCTGAATCAAAAGGACTCAACCCCTAGAGTCCTGGACTCGCGAGGCGCTTCAATCAACCCAAAGTCAAGCAAACCATAACTCGCGTCGCTTGCATTGCTCGCACTCGCGGAGCCCAAGACACGTCCCTGTTGGTTTGGATCGGATGTTGACTCCGGACGAATAAACCGACGGTGGATTCATGTGGCGGTTGATTCACCCTTCAAAGGCGATGAACCCTCGCTACCAGGGACACCCCCATACCAGAAACAGTGGGGTTTGGTACTGGGTTGACATTTGGGGCTTGCAAATCCACCAGCATCCCGAGGCTCCATGCCGCGATGAAACCCCGCCGAGAAGCGAGTCCTCATACTTCTGGCCTTGGAGAAAGAAGTTGGCCTGCTCGGCAGTGAGCGTTGCCTGGCAGTTTCGACTGGCGCAGGACTTGCCTGGTTTCCCATCTTTGGCCATAGAAACTGTCGGGTTTTTCAACACATGGGCAACATGGGTTCAATTTGAAAAAGAAACCTTGCAACGGGTGTGTATTCATAAGAAATATATCACATTTCCATTGCAACATGTCTGTACTGGCGTTTCAGGAAGCGGTTCTGCCCCGGCCAGTCGCATCTGCACTCAAAGCCCGAACCGCTCAGCGCAAACACGTCCAGATGATGCAACTGCCAAACTCCCAATGCTCAAAATTGGCTTGGGCAATGCTGCTCAGGCAGCGAAGCTGATCAGCCCGCTCACATCCCATGCTACGCTACCAAGGGAAAATTAAAGCACCCGCTTCGCTGGCCATCTCAAAGCTGCACAAGCATTGCAACCAGGGCCTGACAGTTCAGTTCAGTCTCTAAAGCTCTTGGCTGGAGAGAACGGCAGGCGCTGTGCCTACACGAATGTCACAAGCCCTGGCTAAAGTGCCACCTTGACCGATACGTGGGACTGCACCCAAAAGCACAGCGAGATATCTGCAGGAACACTGGCCAGCTAAACGATCTAATTGAAGTTTGCTTCCAAGAATTCACCCAGGAGCATTGCTGGCACTTTGCAAAACCACGATATCGGGTTGCCACTGCCGGTTTGCAAACCAGCCCAGTCTGGAGAAAGTGCTCCCTCCTCGTACTTCTTGTACTGACGCTCCTGCTTTCGCAGTTTCAGGCAGTCGCAGAGGGGTGTGTGTGTGTGTGTGTGTCTCTTTTTATTGCAAACAAATTACCCTTTTTGGCTGGTACTCAAGCGAAGCCAAAAGGAGACCAACGGTTTCTGCCAAAGCCAAGTCTGGCGCGGAGCTCGTCTTGAGCCCAGGGCTCAGGCTTGGATAGGGTCAGCTTCCCGCAAATTGGTGCGTGGTTGAGTGGTTTGGAGCTTCAAACCCACATACAAACCAATGCAAAGCACCAACTCCAACAAGTTGTTTTCTGCCATGGGATCCGCCCACCTGTCACAAGTAACTCACCCACAAGACTCGAAACACCCGAAGAAAAGCGGGGGAAAGCGGGGGTTTCGAGCTGATCCTCCACGTGCCCAAAAAAAGAAAAAGAGAAACAACTGGCCGAGAGCCATGCTTTGTGTTTTTTGGGGGGAAAAAAACTCCACGCTGTCCGGCGTGGACTTCCAGCCGTGTCCTTCATGCCGAAGTTCCTCGCCAGCTTCACCGCTTCCTTCAGCTGGCCCGCCGCCCCTGCGGCATCGCCCTCGGCCATGAGCACCTCCAAAACTCCGGCGCGCAAAACATAGGCAGCACGACAGGAAGTGCTGTATATAAATTTGATAATATATATAAATATATATAGTCCCTGTGGTTTGAGATCAGAATAGTGAATTAAAAAGAAGAAAAAGAAGAAAAACTAGAAAAACAAAAAACAAAAACTATTAAGGCCTTCAAAATCTCGGAAAAAATGAGATCAACTTCATCTCTGCGCTCCGGCACCTCCGCAGTGGCATCCATGGTCGCCGCGATGCCTACCTGGTCCTTGGCCTCCTATCCGGAGCGCTGGCTTTGTCTCAAATCCCCAGGTGCATGTGTTGTTTGCTTTGTTTTGTGTTTGAGGGAATCTCAAAATATCTTGTGGTGTGCTTTAGTCCCAAACCGGGGGAACCCTCACAACAAAAACACCCAGTGGGTCTGTGCCATTTTGGGGATTTGGACCCCAAAAATGGTGGGGTTCATTCTGCTTCGCCCTGATAGGTGATTTGGTTTCGTGGTTTGGACGTTAGGGGCGGCTACCTTTTTGAAAGGGTTTCACAAGGAACTGCACTTCAAATCCCGAACTACTAATCCAAACCACCGAAAAAAGGACGCACCCTGAGGGAATGTTGGAGAGTCCTTGCAGCCGGCTACTCATGTGAGACTTGCCTTGATACGTTCCTCTCCCACAACTATGCCCAATCAAAGAAATAGCATGAGGCGGCCCCATTCGGCCAAATGAGATTTCTAACAAATGTTCTCTTCGCAACGAGCAAAGCCTGAAAAGGTTCAAATCTCGTCCTTGAACAAGGCCATTCTCCGATTCACCTCAGATCGAGTCCGATCTAAAACTTGCGGCAAATGGGGATGGAAAAGATCACGTCTCCTAGCTGCGCTTCGCTCCGCAAATGGATCTATGACCCAAAACTCAAGTCCTACTCAGTGCTTAGCAGAAAAGGCACTGAGGCAGCTTCCAGTGTCGAGTGCCGGTCTGAGAGTCTGGCCCGTCCCCGTGTGACTCGTGGCTTCGAGGCAGCAAATTTAGCTGGTGGGCTGCAAACCTTTTTGACCTCCAAGTGGGTGTGTTTCTTTTGACGGACCCACCTTTTAGTGCCCTAGCAACACCAAAAGGAAAGCCACCATTTTGGGGACCCCTGATTCTCTCTTTGGGCAGCTTCCTTTTGCGTTTCCCTAAGCCCCAAAAGGAACCCCGGCCCCGCCCCCTATGAACCCCGCCGAGTGGCCAGCTTCCGGGCCTCCTTGATCTTCTTGCCGCGGAGGAGCGCCTTCACCAGGGTCCGCAGCGCCACGCCCTGCCAGATCGAGCTCTTCAAGCCTCGGAAGCCAAGTCGAACCTCGAGACACTCGGAGCGGTGACGAAAATTTTGGGATGGCGGCGACGCCAAAAGTCGATGTGTGTTGGGCTTGTCTCGAAGGGATGTGGGTCATGTTTTTGGCGGCTTGCCCCATGGCGAGAGTGTGCGTCTTGAACTGTGAAACAAAGCCAAAGGGGCTGCCCCACAGAGGCTTGAGCAACGCCTCGGGGTGTGGACGGTGCCGCATTTTTCGGATGGGATGCCACCAGGTGACAGAGACACCCGGCAAAAACCGTGCTCAGGAGCTGCGAACAAAAACAAGTTCTGTGGCACTTGATTTGATCGTTCTTCGCTCGCTTGCAGCGGAACCTTTAACATCATTATTTGTTCACTGTTTCTGGGGAAGGGTTCCAACCGGAAAAGACCAACACGAGCGAGCCATCCATCAAAGCCTCTGCCAGCTTCAAGCCGTGGCGCCAATAAAGATCTTGAGCGCCTCCTGTGCCGACATGCGAGGTCAGAATCTGCGTGGGGATGGGGACCGATCTTTCCCATGGCCCACACCGCGTCCTATTCCCAAAAAAGAAGAATCTTCATCTCAAAATCGCCACGCTTCATAGCAGCGAGTGGGAATCATTGGGCCGCTCGAAAAGCCCAACCCCTAATCCATAAGCGAACTCCACCCCGAGCCGAATCCCAGCGAAGTGACCTGAATCCGACTGGCCGCGCCTCCCCGGACTTGCGGCCCTCCTTGAATTGGCCCAGCTGCAGCTGCAGCCGCGCCAGGAACTCCAGCTCCAGTCCCTCCTAGCGACCCGTTTGAGCCTCACAAACTTCTCCCAAGCGTTGTGGCGCAATCCCCCCCATGAAAGAACAAAAGCTGGACATTCGCATGTTTGACCGTGTCTGGCCCAGAATTTTCTGGAAGCAATTGCCCCGTCCTCCTTCTTCAGCCCAAGCTGCTGCCAAACCGCCGCTGCCTCGCGTGCGTGCGCCACGGATTTCCGGAAGTCCTGGCGCTCAAGACAGCAACGCGGAGCTGTCTCACAATGGACCTGCCCCCAACATGGGTGGCGTCCATTTGGTGGCCCTTGAAAAACCAAACACTTAAATTTGACATGCCCAAACCTCGTTAGGCAAATCAGGAATGGCAAGGCGCCAAAGGCGAGCCCTCAAATGCTCCAAGATGTTGCGCTTGGGGTCCAGGAAGCTAAGCAGAGCTGGGGGTGAGGTAGCAGGGGGGGCGACAGCGGCCAGCAACAGCCCACACCTAGAAATTTCCTCCGCCCCTCCCGTCCGACGTCCGACGTCCGACGTCCGACGTCCGACGCCCCGGGCTCCTCCAGGCGCCCGCAGGCGGAGGCCAAGCCGTGGAGCGCCCGCGCCTCGCCGCTGCGGATCACCAGCTCCGCGCACCTCGCTTTGGGTTTCAGAGGTTGGAGCTTTGGTAACTGAACTCCCCCAACTCATCCGGGAAAATGGGTGGAGATGGACAAAGTTCAGGGGATTCCAGAGGGAAACCCACCTCAACATGTACCCCAATACGCCACCAGTCATTAATCTGGCTGAAGAAACCCCCAATTCATCCGGAGGAAGGAGACAGGATGGACATGAGCGAAAGCGAAGCACGAAATGAATCCAGATTTACAGTAAAGATTGACAATCATGAAAAAGGAATCTCCACTTTAAAATGGACCTCCTGAATACACCCGCGGGGTAACTAAGGGTTTAAGATTAGGTCGATCTCATGTTAATGTCATGTGTGGTTTTCTAGGCCAAACCCTAACATGGATTTCAGTGTCCTCTTGGGTTTCCTTCCAAGCCACCCAGAACGGGGTACCAACTATCACCTTTAATGAGAAGGACTCATGAACCATCAGGGTCCTGACAAAAGGGATCCATGGGCTTCCCAAATCCTTGTTGATGCCTTATTGACCAGCCAAGTAGGATCGTAGGATTCCCATGCTGACTTTGTCAGGTTGGGGATTGGTAAAGAAATTGGTAATCGGTCGATTTCAGCCGCTCGAAAAACGGGAAGAGGCCGGCATGTTGGAAGGGGAGAGCTATTGCAAAAGAGCGTGTGCTGCCGCGAATGCACCTGGAGGGTACCTAGACAAAATTAATTGATCTCACTAGGAACTTACATTGGAGTGGCATGTTCTCATAGCTGTAAAGGAACAAGAATGATTCAAAAAAAGCAACAACCTTTAGGCGTCCGTTCAGAACAAGCCATGCTCAGGCTGGAGGAAGAACCCTGAATTTGGCAGTAGCTCAACATGCGTGAACCATCTATTCCACATGATTCCTGGCACTCACAGAGTCCCACAAAGTGGCTTCTGAAAACCTCCCAGACCCGAGGTCCAACTGCCCTTGTCGGTTCTCCGATTAGGGAATTCCCCCGAAGAAGGCCACTGCAGCTGGTTTGCTATATGCAGGTTGGTTCCCACAGCCCCGAATCCAACTCCCCCATCGCCAACGGCATTTTCAGAAACCGGGCTTTTGGAGTCATGGAGGTTCTGTAACCACTTATCTACGTAGTACCGCCAATACAAGCTAACATTGGCGACACACAAACCAAACTCAGCATCCATAGCTCCGGAAAAACTTACCCCCACCTCTCACCCGGACTTATCTCTTCACCTCACCAGCGGCCCGGTCCCCGCCAACCCCAATCCCCGACGGCCGACGGCCGAGACGGCCGAATCCGCGCGCGCGGATGCGAGTCACGAGTCACTGGCTGCGGGGCTTCCGAGGCGCTCGGACTCGGAGGTCTCCGGCGCGGTGAAGAGCTCCAGCGCCGACTTCAGGGCCTTCACGGCCCTGCGCGGCGCGCGGCGCGCGGCGCGCGGCGCGCGGCGCGCGGCCCAAGACCAGTGGCAAAACTCCAAGAAGAAGCAAACAACGAGAAAACTAAGAAATCAAGAGCAAAATACACCAAATAATGTGTATATATATATATATATACCTATGTACGTGTCTGTGTATGCATATAGCTGTATGTATGCTTATTGATATATTCTAAAAAAGAATGATGCCGTTGGACCCCAGCGGTTTCTTCTTCAAAAAAACGAAAGCATACTGCCGTTTGACGGGGGAAGCCGCTTCTCCTGTTGAATTCGGGAAGTTGCCTGGCCAAGCCAATTCACAGCACTAACGGGTAATGTAATCGGCGGACCCGGTTGGGGTGCACAGCCAGGGGAGGGCGGGCTGTAGCCTGAAAAAGGCTTGCACTATTCAGGGCTGATCCTTCGCCTATCCTATCCCTTATCTAGGGATAGCCGCGCCCTACAGCTCTTCGGAGCTAACTAGCTTGCACCGCTTTTTGGTGGTGCATGAGATGTGTGCCCCACGTGTTGAACATGCGGATGAACCGATTCCCGCAGACCCTTTAATGCTTTGAAGGAGGAAAAGGCGCCCCGGAGATTTGCAGGTGAGCCCAAGCCGCTCGCGCGCATGGACGTGAGACGGCGGCGGTCCGGCCAGGTATGGCAGGGAAGTCGAGGAGAGCCGGGCACTGGCCGGGGGCGAGCTGGCGGACGGAGAAGATCCCGAGAGCCGATGGAGGGCGACGCCCTGGAGGTTCACTCGGCAGATGGCCGGACAAGTCCCGAGGCATCAACGGCGAGATCGGCGAGCTCATCAAGGACGAAGGAAACGTCACCGAGAGCCCTCAGGCCGGGCATGGATGAGCCCCTGGTGGAGAGGGAACCGAGCTCTACGGCCTCTAGGCGAAGGAGCGCTTCGGAGCAGAGCTCTACGGCATCTAAGCCTGGGAGTACCACGAGGACGAGCCCTTCGGCATCCAGGAGATCGAGCTCGGAGGTGAATCCCTTTTGGTCTAAGAGGGTGCAGGAGGAGGTAAGGGAAGCGAGGCCGGAAGGACTGCCACCGGTCCCGCAGTCGGGTGATGAGAAGGAACCGGTCAGGACACCTCTGAAGGCTGCGGAGGAAGAAGCGGCAGTGAAGAGGAATAGGGCCAGGGCCTTCATGTCGCCGGAGGAGCGGTTGGCGGATGAGAAAAGGGAAGTTGCCTTGCAGGCAGTCAAGAGGGATTTGAATGCGGGTTGGAGGAGATGGTCCGCCGGAGGAGGGCTGGCGGAGCAAGGGACCTTCGGGTGGAGGTGGAGAAGATTGGGATGGTGCAGGCAGCGCCGGAGATAAGGGAAGGCCGGCGACCCCGGAGGACCGACTGGAGGGGGAACATGAACCTTGCGGAGGCGTTGCGGCAGCGGAACGAGCTGCGGCACAAGGTGGAGCAGCTTGAGCTGGAAAAGATTGTGGTGGAGGCGGAGGCCGAGCAGAATCGGAGGATGGCAGAGCTGTGGGAATCCCGGGCGCGGCAGGCCGAGAAGCACGTGGAGCTCTTGACCGAGCAGATCACGGTGCTGGAACAACGGCCTCAGCAATTTCACACGCCGCAGCAGGAGGAGGTGCCGCAGCCACCGAGGCCAGAGACACCCCCACCGCCGCCTCCAGGAATTCGGTCCAAGAGGCAGAAGTTGGAGATGACGCCGGGTGGCACCAGGGTGCCGCAGGATCCACCCCCGTATGATCATGAATGGCCGAACCCCGAAAATGGTTGGGTCATGGATGGGGTGAGTTACAAGCCGGCATGGGGCCGCTCGAGGTCAACGTCAAGGGAGGAGAAGCCGGCCGCAAGCAGACCGAGGTGGACAAGGTTCCAAGGATGTGGGCGATGCCCGAAAACCAGAGGAGGAGAAGCCATCAGCGCCAGTGGCGCCCCTGCTGCAGCAGAAGCCAAAGAGTCGGCCGGAGGTTCAGGAGATGCCCAACGAGACTGGACGGGCTACGGATCTGCCGGAGTTGGTCGGGGATGGAAGTCCGCTGACCTTCGGAGACTGGATGGCCACGATCGACCACTACATGAAGGACAGGTGGGAGGAGGTGTGCGCTAGCGCCAAGGAGGCCTATGCGGAGTGGTTGGTGGCGAGCCCGTTGCAGCGGCTGCGCATCAAGCCGGAGCTTCCGTTGGTCGACTTGCCTCGCACCGAGCAGAGAGGAGTGGCCATGGTCCTCAAGGCGCTCCCAGAGAATGTCAAGAAGGAGCTGGTGGCGAACAGGCAGCTGAGCATGGTGAACATCATCTATCGCCTGTACATCCTGTACCAGCCGGGCGGAGCCTCTGAAAGACAGCAGATCCTGAACGCGCTGCTGGACACCAAGGGTGGGAACGCATCGGAGGTGGCCAAGCAGCTGAGGTCGTGGAGGCACTGGAGGAAAAGGGCGCTGGAGCTTGGAGTGCCGTTGCCGGATGCCACGTTGCTGGTGTCTGCCCTGGACAAGTTCGCAGCGGCCCTGTCGAAGCTGGATCAGCAGAGCAGCTATAGGATGTCCACGGTGAGAGCGGAGCTGAACCTGGACACGAGGCCGACGCAGGAGGCGGTGGAGAGCTTCGCGGAGTATCTCCAGGCGGAGTCCGAAACGGCGGAGCTGGCGAAGGGGGGCAAGGAGGTCGCGCCCAAGGTGAAGGCGATCGGCGGTGCAGGAAGAGAGGAGGCCGGCCCTTGGAAGCCATCGGGTGGTGGCGGAACTCCCGGGAAGCCGAGGGTGGTGGATTTGTCAAGGGCGTGCAAATGGTACGCGACCGATGCGGGCTGCAGGTTTGGCAAGAACTGCAGTTCGCCCACGTTTGGGACAGGTGCTGGACTGGAGCATCGCAAGGCGGAGTGTCCGCGGCCTGGACCCCAAGGAGGTGGACCTGGTGGAGGCCAAGCCGCGGCTGGAGGAGGCGGCACCCCGCCGGGGAACAAGGGGGCTGTGAAGAAGGCTGCCGGGGGGAGGAGCCATGCGGCGGAACCGGTGGTGGAAGAAGAAATGGAGGAGATTGCAATCGAGGAGACCGTGGGGAAGGACAAGCTGATGGCGGAGGCGACACAGCTGTTGAAGAGCCTCAGGATGAAGAAGCTCAAGGCGGCGAGGCTGTCGAAGATCGGGGAGTGCCAAAGTTGGGGGCTTCTTGATGGAGGGGCCACGCATGCTCTTAGGCAAGCGCGGAAGGGTGAGACAGGGGAGGACCGCATGGTGAAGCTTGCGGATGGCCGGGAGGTGGTTATGCAGATGACGGAGGGTCACACCTTGATCTGCAAGGAAGCCACGCAGGTCATTGTGCCAGGCCCGTTGCCGGTGAGGATGAGGCAGTTCTGCCCGGAAGTCCCGACGGAGGTGGCTCTGAGGTTGGTGGCGGAGTTGGAGGAGTTCAATAAGGGACTGCTCCGGAGCTACAGCGGCGACCAAGAGCATGAGGAAGCCGGGCATCAACGGCGACCACAAGAAGGGCCTGTGCGGCAGGGTTGCAGCTGCATGGAAGAACGGAGACATGGAGAAGGTGAAGGGGGAGTTTAGACAGCTCTTCCCTGAGGTGCCGGAAGCTCTGCTGGAAAGGGCCCTGGGCACAGGAGAAGGAAGGGGAATCGCCTGGAACCGGGCGGCAAGGAGGAGGCATGCCAAGGCGACAGGGTTGATTCTTCACCTCTTCGCGGGGAAGAGTGCAAAGAAGTTCAACTACGGACAGTGGGACAGGGAGGTCATTGCGGTGGATATCCTGTCGGGCCAGGATTTGCTGGAGGCAGACACCTTCGGGTACCTGGCTGGATTGGCGGTGGAAGGAAGGACGGAGGGGGTCATGGGTGGGCCGCTGTGTAGGACGTACTCCTACTGCAGGCACTTCGAGCCGGGTCCTTATCCGGTCCGAGGAAGAGGAGAGGAGCGGTTTGGCTATGAGGAGCTGAGCGACGCCGAAGCAAACAAGGTGGAGGGCGACAGCGTCTTGATGCTGCGCATGTGGATCCTGGCGGTGCTGGCGAACGGTGGCCGGGAGCTGGTGGGTCTGAAGGCATGGATGGTCAAGGAGCACCCGGAGGACCCGAGGAGAATTGTCGAGGAGTGGGAGAAGGCCAAGGGTCGGGGGGGCGAACCGCCTTGGAGGAGGTGCTGGGACTTATCAGGGTTTGACCAGGGCGCGATGGGCCACATCAAGCGGAAGCCGACGATGCTGCTGACGAGCATCAAGGATCTACGGCAGCTGGATGGCATGAGGGGACCTGGAGTTGGAGGAGCGGGGAACCGCGAATCTAGCAGCTGGGCAGAATGGGCGCCGGGGTTGGTGGCGGCGCTGGATGAGGCGATCAAGAGACAGGTCGTGGCGGCGTCAAGGATGGCAAAGGCATCGGCGGAGGACATGTGGAAGAGCCACGTCGAGAATGGCCACACCCCATTTCGCCGGGACTGCAGGGCTTGCATCCAGGGTGGACTCAGAGGAAGGAGCCATCGGAAGAGGAGTCACCCGGCTTTGGCCACTTTGGCGATCGACGTGACGGGGCCGTTCAAGACATCCAAGGAGGGGCATCGCTATCTGCTGGTGGGCTCCTATGTCACGAGGGGCAGAGAACATGGCCAAGGAAAATGAAGTGGAGAAGGAAGCCGGAGGAGAAGCGCTTGGAGAAGACCCGAGCGAGGACCCGTTCGAGGAGATGTTCGACGAGGAAGGGGCTTTGAGGATAGAAGGTGAGGAGAGAGGAGAGGTGAGGGTAGAAGGTGAGGAGACAGGAGCCGTGGGTAGAAGGCGAGGAGGATGAGAGAAGGGAGGAGGAGCATCCAGCTCCGGGCGGGCTGGAGGGTGTGGTCACAAGGACCATCATGATGGTGGAGCCGCTGAAGACCAGGAGAGCGGCGGAGGTGATTGCGGCGACGCAGTCGATGGTGGCCAAGCTTCGGTGGTGGGGCTTCGAGGTGGCGAGGCTTCATTCTGATCGAGGACGTGAGCTGGTTTCAACAGCGTTGAGGAGGTGGGCGGTGAGTCATGGGCTGTATAAGACGCTGTCAAGCCCCGATGAGCCGCAAGCCAATGGCCGGGCGGAGGCAGCGGTTGGCTGGGTGAAGCGGAAAGCGCGGGCACTGCTTCTGGCGGCGGGGGCCAACGTCAATTTGTGGCACGGGGCAGCTTTGCAGGCGGTGGAGATCAGGAATCGGAAGATCATGCGGGAGATGGGTTCCCCGCAGCTGCAGCTGCCGGTCTTCGGGCAGAAGGTGGTGGTGAAGAAGAGGAGATGGAAGAGAGAGGCTGGGAGGCGATCACGCAGAACGCAACCTACGTGGGGCCGTGCCCGGACATGACCGGTTTGAGGGTGATGGACCAAGGGGGCAGCATCTACACGGTGTCGCAGGTCGTGCCCGAGCCGAGAGATCAGAAGGTGGACATCCCGGTGGTGGGTGAGCTATGGACCAGGAGAAGGAGACTGCGAGCAAAGCAGAAAGATGAGGAGGCTGGAGACGATGAGGAACCGAGGATCAGCAAGGTGGAGGAAGGTGAAGAGCAGGTGGAAGTGGGTAGGGGTCGGGAAGGACTGGATCGAGGCGATGGCGAAAAGGCAGGTGGTATGGTCGCAGGAGAAGGATAGGTGCCTTGAGCTGGTCATGGATGACCTCGAGATGGGTGGTGCTGGGAAGGCTGGATATCCAGCAGAGCTGCACAGAGGAGGAGATGGTGGAGGTCACCCGCGAGGAACGCCCGAAAGCAGGTCTGAGGGCGATGGATGTGGTGGCGGAAGAGGAGATGTTCCTCCAGACGAAGATCGTCGGTCTGGAGCAGGTGAGGAGAGAGATGGAGCTGTGGGTGCCGACGATGAAGGAGGAGGTCGGTGCGCTGTTGGAGAAGACGGCCATACGGGAGGTGAGAGAAGAGGAGGTAGACAGGTGGGAGCGGGAAGGTGAAGCGGCAGGGAAAGCGGTGTTTACCCGCAAGTCAGGCGATGGAAGGAGGAAGTGCCGCGCGGTTGTCTGCGGCAACCAAATCCAGGAGGAGGTGGAGGGAGGAGCCGATGTGTATGCGTCTGGGGTGGAGGCTGGCACGGTTCGTGCGCTGCTTGGGAAGGCGGCGGGTATGAGGTGGTCGGTGGGCAGCTTGGACATCAGGACTGCGTTCCTGAATGCTCCGAGGAGGTCGGCCCATCGGGTGGTGGTGAGACCGCCAAGGATCCTCATTGATGCAAAGGTCGTTGAGCCGGGCATCATGTGGGAGGTGACGAAGGCACTCTATAGGCTGAGGGCTTCACCAGCCGATTGGGGGGCGCACAGAGATGACACGCTCAGGAGGTGGAGGGTGGACATCGGTGGGGGACAGGTGCTGGTATTGCATCAGGCCTTCGCCGACGAGAACCTGTGGAAGATTAAGCTGGGTGAGGCCACGGTGGGGTTCATCTGCTGCTACGTGGAGGCTGGCCACATCAAGAAGGAGTGGGACGCCACGGACCTGGAGTGGGCCAACACTGAGAAGGCGCTGAAGTTTTGCGGCGTTGAGGCGATGGTGAAGCCAGGAGGAGGTGGGGAAATCCTGGTTGGGCAGGAGGATTACATCAAGGACGTCATCAATAGGTACGGGAGCGAGGTGAAGGAGAAGCTCATCCCGGTACCGAAGGAAATCGAGAAGGACGGGGAGGATGAGGAGCAGGACATGGAGATGGTTCGGCGAGCACAGACGCTGTCGGGGGAGTTGCTGTGGGCGACCCGGACGAGGCCGGATATCAGCTATGGCGTGAACCGCATCAGCCAGCTGATTGCGCGGCAGGCGAGGCGGGCCTATGACATGGGAATCTACTTGTTGGGCTTCCTCAAGAAAACGGTGCATTGGAAGTTGGAGTTTGGGGCCGCGGCGGAGGGCCACGGAGAGAACGGGGAGTATGTGTATGAGAGGGGCATGAACACGGTGGAGGTCTACGCAGATGCGGCTTCGGGCCGGATGGCGGCCGCTCGCAGCAGGGGGTCATCGTATGCTATGGTGGCTGCCCAATTCATTGGACGAGCACGCGGCAGCCGTTTGTGGCAAGATCGACCGCGGAGGCTGAGTTGTTGGCAGCCATGGAGGGGGTGCTGCAAGGGGAAGCCTGGGCGGAGATCATCGCCGACCTGGAAGACAGGAAGGTGGCATCGGTGTGGGACAGGGCTGTCATCGATGTGGAGGGGCGTGACCAGCTGAGGTCGTTGAAGCTGGTGATGATGCAGGACAATGCTGCAGCCGTCACGCTACTGCAGGGCCCTGGTGGGTCATGGAGAACGAGGCCACTCAAGATCCGGGCCAGGTCGGCCAGGGAGAGATTTGAGAATGGCTTCTGGGCGCTGCAGCACTTGCCGGGCGAGACGATGTTGGCGGACATCGGCACCAAGGCCTTGGGAAGCTCTCGCTTGAGAGCACTGGCTGAGATGATGGGTATGAAGATGGGCGAGAGCGGCGCGATCCCGGAGAAGGAGGAGAACCCTGTGGAACCCGGGGAGGGGACCGCGGCCAAGGTGAGGGTGGTGCACAGCGTGGAGCACGAACGAGGCCTGAAGGTCTTGACGGGCATCACGTGCATTATGCTGGCTGAGGCAGCTGGCATAGAGGATGAGGAAGATTCCCGGGAGGAGCTTCTGTTTTGGACGGCGCTTCTGGTGGCGGTGGTGGCCGCGTGGGAGGCGTGGGAGGACTGCAGGAGTATGCCGACTACCGGAGGAGGAGTGAAGGTTAAGACAATGAAGGGTGGCGAGGAGAGGGCCGCGCAGAGGTTGCTTGAGAAAAGGGCAGAAAGTGAGAGCTTCGAGGAGAAGCGAGGATGGAGCACAGGAGGGGGAGGAAGGCCGGGCAGCAGTAGCGCTGCGGACTGGTTCGAGAGAGAGGTTGACAGAGCCGGGAGCTCGCATGAGAGAAATGCAGGCTGGAAAGCCGGAGGTGGAGAAGCGAAGCAGACCAGGTCGACGCCGGAGAGGAGTTGCGTGGTGGAGTGGAAGGTCTGCTTGGATGTTGAGGAGGCTGTGATCTGGGCGGACGTGAAGAAGATCTTCCCGAGCATCATGAAGGAGCCGGTTGGGACAGAGGACCGCTGGTTGGAGAAGGGCGGCTATTACATCAAGATGCATTGTAGGAGGCGGGTCTCCGAGTTTGACCCACGGAGGGGCTACATGCCGAAGGAGAAGATTGGGCCGGAGAGGATCACGATGATGAGGACTTCGGGGCCCATCTTTGTGCTGGGCGGCGACTACACGGTTGGGTCGCGGTCTGGCCTGAGGGAGTTCGTTGGCTTCACGATCTTCAAGAAGGTCGGGGCGGAGCAGGAGGTGGGGTCTTGAGCTGGCGCCAATGAGCGCAAGGGTGGCTGAGAGCTGTACAGAAGCTCAACGCCATGCATTTTGGGCGGTTGGCACAAAGTGCCAAGGGGGGGTGCATGAGATGTGTGCCCCACGTGTTGAACATGCGGATGAACCGATTCCCGCAGACCCTTTAATGCTTTGAAGGAGGAAAAGGCGCCCCAGAGGTTTGCAGGTGGAAATCGATCGGGTCGTAGGCACGGCAACCGGCCTTTGGTAGTGCTTGCGCTGGTGGGCCTTCACGCCCTGCTGCGTCATGGCCGAGGCGAGGGCCAGGTATCCGTAGGCCTCCATCTTCTTGTCGCCCAGCTCCTTCCTTGGACACACTTCCAGTACTGCCCCGTGAAGGCTTTGCGCGGTAGTTGTTTGGAGGGTGGAAACCATCTGACAGGGTTCTTTCCAAATCCTCATTGGCAGGTCCTTTTCCAAATGGGGATGTTTCAAAAATGTCCGGCCCAGAAATAGTAAAGTTCCTTTTGTTTCCCAAGCAGAAACCACCCAATAAATGGTAATAACTTAAAAACACAAACAAACACCCCTCTCACTGTAGAGAGATACTGTGTCAGGTTATCTTTGAATAAGAAGAGGTCAGGGTTTGTACTGATCAAGCTGCTCCCACAGATCGAATTTCGTCAATGAGCATGGGGATTAGTTAACTTGGTACAGTAAGGCTGTTGAACCTAGGCTCGACTTTGAGGAATGCGAATCCGAAAGTGACAACCAGCTTTCCTCTGAATACCAGATACTTCACTCCCTCCTTTGCTGTCCCACCAAAAGAAATTAATTGGACCAGCGTGACAGTTGAGAGCATGTTGTGAATGCAAAGGCACTGACACGCGATATGCCACATTTTTGCGGGTGTGGCTTTTTGGAGGACCACAAAATGGCTTTGGTTTTCCTCTTGGTTTCCCTTTCTTATCAAAAAAAGTGCCCTGAAAAAAGCTGAAATCCTGACATTGGGTTTGACTGGACAAACACAACAAGCACATCCCGACACAAGATGTCCGACTTCGTTCTTGCCCACCACTCATGACCATACTCCCCCCATTTTATTGGTTCCACTCCTCATACCCCTGCTCCCCCCCCATCCCATCCATCCCATCCATCCCATCCATCCCATCCATCCCATCCATCCCATCCATCCCATCCATCCCATCCATCCCATCCATCCCATCCATCCCATCCATCCCATCCATCCCATCCATCCCATCCATCCCATCCCCCTGTGGTTATTCCTTTTCCCCCTGGCTGAAGAGGAGGTCAAATCTACCCACATCCCCACAAGGAATCGGACCCCCATGGTCATTCACTTTCCCTTGCCGGGAAAGGCAGCCTTCGGGAAAACAAGCCGGACCCCGGAACCTTCCAAAGACCATCCTTGAACTTTCTCGGTTTGCTTTGTTTTTGGCTTTCCTGCTCCTTTCGCTTCCAAAAAATCAGGTAGCAACTCCGCCCGTCCCTTCGTCCCGTCCATTGCGCCCGGCCGGGGCGCTGAATGGCCACCGCCTCCTCCGCCCAGCGCGCCGCCCGGGTCCGCAGCTCCCCGCGGCAGCGGAAGGAGGCGACCTCCGCCAGGGACTGCAGCGCCAGGGCCTCCGCGGCGCGGTCCACCGGGGCCGCCGCCCGCAGCTCCGCCAGGTGGTCCTGGCCTGGTGAGGTGCGGGAGAGGCGAAAGTTCCCCAAATCAAAAGTGGACGCGGGTGGGTGGGAGACTTGGTGCGGCGGGGGTGGTAGTGGCGCCGGGTCAGTGAAGTTCCGACAAAATCAAAAGTTGCGAGTTGAAGGTGGCATCCATTGAAACCAACAATGAAAACTGAAATAAAGTCTGTTGGAGCCCGGTGGTGAGGACCAAATCAAACCACCTTATGGTGACCTTAGAGCCAAAATGGAACACCCCTTTGTAGAAACCAAAAGAACACCTGTTGCCGGGAAACTGGGGACTTGAACCCCACTTCCTTTTGAAGTATACTGTGGATGGACAACATACCATGCGCACTGGATGGTAGGTGGCTCTATCCCAGTATTCGGAGTGTTTGGTGCCACAAAAAGTCATGACCGCCTTTGAGAGTAAAATCCGCAAACCAGAGATGAAGTGCTCTGGACAAGGAATAGTCAGAAGTGACACCACCCTCTGTTTGGCCAGATTGCAGAAGAATTCTAAGTCAAGTGCTAGGATTAGCTCCTCATTCATAGACAGCTACTTGAGAACAATTGCAGCCCCCATGGTGTTCTTGAGGTTGAGCATCTTGGCACCTGTTCCGTATCTCAATATGTCATGCCCTGCGACGTTTTGCGGATTCTCACCGGGCCGCCTAGGGAGAGCGCCTCCTTCCTGTCTTCGAAGTCGGCCAGCGCGCACATCAGAATTCGCAGGGCCTCCGGGACGGCTGAGGCCTCCGACTTCCGGAAGATGGCCAACGACTCTCTGGCCAGGCGGACGGCAAGCTCCGGGTCATCGGTGGTCAAGGCTGCTTCCGCTTCGCTCAGCGAGCGCGAGGCTTGCCGCGCGTCGGCGGGCAAGGAGTCATCTTCTGCTCGTGCTGCGTACTTCACACCTCACAGCTGCCAATTTGGACAACGAATTCCTTGCTTCTGCAATTTTTACTCTATCGCCTATCGCCAAAAGCTGATTTAAGGGATCTCTAACTAAAGGATCTGTATCACGGTGAGCTCGGTTTACCCGCAGGTGAGCTTGCTATAAAATCGGCAGATGTCAACGACGAGCCACCGATCTCAGTGGTTGGAAGCAGCAGTAGTGTGCGCCCTGGCTCGTAGCCCCGAGAAATTCCCTTCGGCATGGCAAGCTGAATCTGACAGCTCCGAAGGAAACGACGCAGATTTTGGCTCTCAACTTGTGCTATATCAGTCAAGAAAATGTGCTGGTGTGATGGATCTGCGCCTGGAATTCTCCAACCGGGTGTTTGTTTTTCAAGATCGCTCGCTGGAGACTGCAACGTGGCCTTGCAATGGGTTGAAGCAGCATGCGTTTGTCCAGCCTTGCAATAAGCAATGAATTGAAAGTGATCGTGACGCCATCTCTGAGCCACCCAATGCCTGCCATTGTCAACTTCCAAGTCGGATCAGTGAGCCTTCCGGAAGTCACACAGAACGAACTGACATAACAAGTTGTTTTTCAACAATAGGAATGTCCCTTTCTGCGGTTCCAAAAAACCAGGCCTGACAAGGGCACCGGTCGCCTCAAACCATGCACCCATTTTTGTTTGCGAAAGCCGTTGGAAACCCAACCTGCGGGGCAGGGCATTGACGCCCGAAAACACCCACGTCCATTCACAGATGCTCCGAAATCTAGAGATACAAACAAACAAGTTGATAAACGGACAGACACACAAACAAAAAACTGCAAAGCACAAAACAAGGTCACAACTCTTATCGCCCCATTGATTTTTCTCGTGCCTGAAAACTGCATTCCGCCATTTTTGCAGGGATTCTTGCAGACTCCGAAAACCCTGACGGTTGGAACGACTTGGTTCTCTCGAAATTACAAAGTGACCAGCTGCGCGGCGTCAAGCGCAGCAAGCCTTCAATCATGGACGTTAAGGCATGTCGCACTGCTCCTAGCTTGAACCCAAACATGAAACCTCGAAAGAACAAAGCTCGTCCGAAGCGGCCGCAGTTCTTTTCACCGGGATTGCTGAAAGTTGCACTGCTTCCAGGGCACTAGTGCGCCTGGAGCAGGAGGCACATTGACCCCCCGAAATGTGAAAAGGCAAGACAATGCGTGTCCTTGCGGGTAAATGCAGTGCTTGGGGGGGCGCGGCACGCGTGCCCACGCCCCAAGGTCCGGAGACCGACAGTCCGGAGACTTGAGGTCCGGAGACCGATTTTGGTCCGGAGACCTAGTCCGGAGACCACGGTCCGGAGGCGACCCACGAAAGTGCAGAGACTCTGCCGTCTATCCTGGCAAAGCCTGGCATAGGGCAATGCAGGGTGGGTGGGTGGGTTTCGAAATGAAACCGCAGGTTTGGGTCAAGGCTAGGAGCAAAACGGCCAACGCATAGTTCGATTCACCACATGCCCTAAACACAAGGGAAAAGAAACCCTAAGCGTTAAGGCATGTCGCACTGCTCCTAGCTTGAACCCAAACATGAAACCTCAAAAGAACAAAGCTCGTCCGAAGCGGCCGCAGTTCTTTTCACCGGGATTGCTGAAAGTTGCACTGCTTCCAGGGCACTAGTGCGCCTGGAGCAGGAGGCACATTGACCCCCCCTTCAGTGTTTCAGTCAACCCCGGTAAAAGCGAACCAGTGGGCCGAAGGCCTCATCACCCGCCCTTCAGAGTGGGGTTGTACCTGGCAGGGCAGATGTTAGGGTCACCATGCACGCTGTGTTGTGAACAGCTCGGCATGCGGTGACTGCACTTTTTTCTGGTCAGAGCGGCTTGTGCAAGCGGCTGGCTGACATTGCCAGTTGTTCTGGCTGACAAGGCAACGGCAGCAAGGGTTCAGAAGGCCAAGTCGAATGCAGGCTAGTTTGGCTTTGCGACGATGGACGCCGCTGCCAAATGTTCCGGACGCCAGGGCGCATGCATCGGACACAGTTGAATGCCTCGGCCCGACATCGCCAGGCTTGCAGGGCTGAAGCGCATGCGACTTTCAGGGCGATGGCTGAATCGGGCCAACCGACCTCTGCTGAGATCGTCTGCCCAATCATTGCACCTTCCTGGAACGTGCGTGGGCTGCAGCAGCACGTTGTGAGCGTGAGCCCAGAAGGCTGTTAACTGCACAAAAAGTTGCAACGGCCATGAGGTCGTGAACAATTTGTTAAGGCTTGCTTCCGTGGCGGAATTGTCCGTGCCGGACGGCATGCTAAACGAGTAGTGCCCACCACCAATGTGGCTGTGGGTTGCTTGCAGCAGTGCTAACTGTGCAAGTGTTTCAAAGCATGCGATATACCGCTGGGCTGGCTTGACAAGGCAAGGCCACACGACTCTTATGTCTTGCATGTTCCAGGTCTCAGCGAACCACACCACTTGGGAAGATGTGATTGCCCAGCCCCCAATCCCCACCATTTCATCTTCAGCACACGCGTCGGCGGCAGCCAGAGCTTGCAGCTGGCGTGGCCGCGCCAACGGCTGAATGGGTGAGTGTCGAAAGCACAACGCCAGCCAAGTAAGGCACTGTTGACTTGACTTGGAAAGGCTGGTGTATGGGTTATTGGGGTCTGCGATGCGCACCCATGTGGGCTTGCTAGTGCCAGGCACTCGCGGAATGTCTTCAAGGCAATGCAAGGTGCGGCCTGAAATTTCCAAGATTTTGGAGCCCGCTGTGATCCACAATCCCGGCAGGCTGTGACCAGTTTTGGGGTCCCTTGACAAGGATGCTCGAAAGGCCGACCACATTTGCGGTGGTATTGAGTGCATGGAGCCTGGTGGGCTGTTGAGGTCCGCGTAAAGCGGTGCCAGCCAGGACCTAAGGTGCAGGGCAATGCTGGTGGCCCAAATCAGCAAGCCTATGCACTGCTCGAGTGTCTTGCGAGGCACACGTCGGCTTCCCAGAAGGGATTTGATTAAGGCGTCCAGCTTGGCCAGTTTTGAGGACATGAGCTGGATGGTGTCGTGAGAGAAGTGGATCTCCCAACCGCACCAAACCAGGCTATTCTGAAATTGCACCTTTTTCCACGAAATGGGTGCTGCAATGGCACAAAAGAAGAGCACCACCAAGGCGAACATGTCTGGCGCGCTATCCCGGACGAGTGCACAGAGCAGGTCGTCCACGAAGAGAAAGGCTTTGTGCGGCTTCCAGGCTAGCAACCCATGCACTTGACGAAGCAAGAAAGCGCCGGTGCGCTGCCACCAGAAGGCCGAGAACCGGCCCCCAAAATGGCACACCCTGTAATGGTATAGCTTCCCTTGAAAGGCGAAGAGAAGAAGGCCATGTTCCTCTGGGCGGACCTGCACTTGTTTGTGTGCGGCTTTGAAGTCAATGCTGGCGCCGATGAAGGCACCTGGAGTGTCCTCTGGCTGCGTGGACAGCGCCAAATCAGAGGCCATGGGCAAGCTAAGGCGCTCTGGCAAATGGCATCTGGTATTGACCTGGCACACGGTGCTATCCAAGACAAGGCGAGGTTCTTTGCCTTCGGCGAACACGACATTAAGCTTGCCCACGGCAATACCTAAGGGCCATTTTTCCCGAGCGTCGGCTATGCTAAGGCTGGTTTCAACAATCCAGTTGTTAGCAATTTCCTTGCTCAGCAAACCTTGCACGGTTTCTGGCTCGTCTTCGGCCATCTTCCAGTTGCCTTCACAAATTTCCAGATCCGGCTGCGGCATGGAGTCTGGCTTCTTCGCTGGCCACTGAAGGCTTGGAGGCAAGGCTGATACGGCTCCTGTTGGCACTCCGTGCTGCAAAAATGGAAGGAGGGCCATGTCGGGGTCATCCCAAGATTTGGCCAGGGCATGCAACAGGTGGAGTCGGTATGGTTGTCCTGCTTCGGGGCTCATATCTGAAGGGCAGGGCAGTTTTAAAGCTGTATACGCTAGAGTTGCCGCCTCCAGGCTTTCACAGGGCGAGAGCGGGCAGTCCGAGGAGCCGCTGTTGACGTGTGCCAGGATACGTGGCACGAGTTTGCGCTCATGCATCCAGTGCAGCCAGGGCCTGGCTGCAAAGGGTGCTCGGGCTTGGGGAGACACCAATCCGCTGAGGAGTGCATTCCCGCGCCATCACAGGTGGGGAGCCTGCAAGGCGCCAAGGTGACGGTGCTAGGGCAGTTCGCTAGCCGGAAGGAGCCTGTTTTACTTACCCTTCCTATGCCTATTTGGGCCAATTGCAGGGCCAGGGAGGGGGGGTATTCTGCGGTCAGTGTGCTGAGGTATACCCCTTGTTCCTTCACTCCTGCAATATTCTGATGCTTATGGGCGTGATTGCAGCGGGCCTGCAGGGCCTGTACCTTCGAACTGTTGCTGCCGAATGCCCATGACTTAGCGAATGCTTTGTCGTGCATGCAGGCGTCCACCCACACCACAGCATTTGGAAGTTGGCCTCTTCCAACCAGGACATGGCCGATGGTGGCTGCTCCCAAATGCCGACGCCCCCTTTGGAGACCACTGCTCTGAACAGGGCTCTGCCCCGGTGGTGGATGGTTTTGCTATCCAGCAATTTTTTACGCTGTGCGGGCGAAAGGCCGGGGACACCGTCCATGTGCTGCGGCGTTCTCAAGGCTTTGGGCCCGCCCGGGCAAAGTTTGAGTCTGGAGTACTCTTTGCAAGGCGGGGCAAGCATGATCAGGGCCACGATTCCGGACCAGCAGAGTCTGAGGAGTGCCTCGAAGACGCTGTCATCCAGGATGTTGTGCGCTGCATCACCATCGAGGTCAAAAGGCTCAAAGCAGTCAAGGCCGAGGCTAATTGCGGCTGACGTCACTGGGTGCAGTCTACCTGCAAATACGTCCAAAAAGAGTCGCTTGGAGGCTGGGCGCAAGTGCGAGTCCGATGAGCTTGCCTGCGCGGGCGCATGTGGCTCAGGCTCAGGGCTGGGTTTGCTATGGTGTGTTGCAGGCAAGGCTGGCGGCAGGGCCGTTTGCCCTGGCCCCTGTGGGGGTGAACACGGTTCATGAGTCCCGTCGTGGGGCAAGGCCGGCTGAGGCATGGCTGCCCGATCCCGTGCCGGTCCAAGATCCGGGCTGTTTCACGTGTGTTTATTGTGGTCCACTGCGGGGTGCTTTTGCTGGCAACCGGCTATGGCACACACGTGGGCGAAAGGGCAGTGGTCGTTAGTGCAACTGCCTGTCTGGTACCGTCGGCAAACCTCTCTACCTTTATCTGTAGTGCACCAATCCGCCTTGGGCTTTGGCGAAGGAGCGGCTCCTTTGGATTTGCCCTTG